AATTTACATACATAGGACATAATTCTTATGTATTTACATATCTCACATCTAAACTTTTATATTTACATGCATGACACTTTGGTGCTTTAAACTTATGCTTGAAAAGGTGTATTTCTGTTTGTTTTTTCATTTTTGGCAGTTACATACACAGCAATCAAAACATTGCTATTTACAAAACTAGCAATCTCTTGCATCCCTTTTTCCAAGTTTATTGGTGCAACATCATACATGACACTGGAAACATTGCTATTTACTTGAGTTATGAAGAGATCCTTTGGATCCCAATTCATCTATTAGCTTGTACCTTTCTAGTGATGGATCTGGTGGAATCTGAGCCTCTGTAAATGTTTTTCTTAGGGGCTGTTTAGCAATTTCTGGCATTTAATTCAAGCAGGACTTGAGTAAATCCTAGTGTTAAAGTTTAAAAACTGTTTGGCATGACATGATGCTTTTTGTTTACTATTATTTTGAAGTTTGGATTTTGAAGAAGGCAATGGAGTCTGTTCTTCTTCCCTTTACTTACTCGGTATATACTACAAACTCGTGCTTGTTGCTGTTAGCTACCAGCCTTCTTCATTACATAACGGAATTATAAGGATAGATTTGGAACTATCCAATTATTACCATGTTTATTCCATCTTGTACTCACCGGCATCTCTTTTAGTAGGCAACAGCAGTTATTACCATGGCTATATCATCCTTTTTTTGAGGGACATGCTGAAATCCTACCAAACGACAAAAAATGACAACTTTAAAGTGAAGTGCTAGTTGAAACCTATAGCATGTCGGAAAAGCTTGGAATATGTTTATATATAATTTGTCCTTTTCCTTGAAAGAGGACATTTTGGGCCTCTGCAAGCAACTATTTTTGCTATAAATTTACAATTTTAGGTTGTTTAGAATGGTGTGCACGCTTCTTTTGTTTTTCAGGTTTTAATATTTCAGCTTTGACAGATGCTCAGGCCATGTTGTCAGAAGCCTGTGTGATACAAGCTGATTTTCTAGGTGCTTCAGTCCTCACCCTTCTTTAATGGAATATCAAATTTCAATCAATTCTGTTATTTCCAAACCCAAATTAATTCGATATGGAATGGCAAATTTCAATCAAAAAATGCATCACCGACATAATGAGCTCCTAAACTGCTAAACTAAGCATACAATGTGAAACATCTGCAGATGTAAACCAGCAAGAAATGGAAAAGAGAGAAATTCAGATCCCAAGTTTATCCATCACATTCATCTACAGACCATTTTCACCACCACCTCTGTGGTTAGATCTAGCACCCGGGAAGCAGAGGGGAATACCTGAAGCATGGGAAAATCTGGCCGCGAGTTTGGCATAGGAAGACAGTTTAATGTCAAGTTCCCCCTCGATCTTCCTCGCCTCCTTTCTTTGCTCCTCCCAATCGGATTCTTGAAGCTCTAGACTTGCATCCATCATATCGACGTCCACTTCTTATACCCTTCTTCTCCCTAGCTTACCCTAGCGGCACCAGTGGTAGAGTTGCTGGCTCCGACGACGGTCAAGAAGAGGAATCCCTAACAAGGAACAGAGGAAATGCTGCGGCAGTGAATCTTCGCTTCCCTCCGCTCTTCGAAGCTTTCCGTCAGTCCCAGTTTAGCGAGGGTAAGGAGGTAAAAGGTGGAGGGCGAACGCGGATCGCGGGGATATACCCGCGGTCCGCGTCTAATAGAAAATAGAAAACACAGTTTTTAAAAACTCGCCCTAAACGCGAGAAACAAACAGTGAGGTGGTATTTTGAAAACGCCACCGCATTTATAAGCTGCCCCAAACGGGCCCTAATCCATCATCTGGGTTGTTGCCATCTTCTTCTCGCATCGATTTATTTATTCATGGGCAACTGAAATGTCGTGAACTATTTATTAGTCGCTGAGAAATTTCGTGTAAGAATATTTTGTGAGCTTTTGTATTACTTGCGGCTGATGCTCTTTTGATCTGTGTTATGAAATCTGTGCAAAACGAAGGATTTGTGAGGTTGGATGTGATTCTGCACAGCTATCACAACAACTGTAGTGTGCAATCCCCTATATCTCCGTGTTGTGATTGGTTTGTTTCTTCGAATGTGGTTTGAATCGAGATATTTCTCTGAGTTTGTGGATTGAAACATTTCTTTTATAGATCATATTTGTTTGCATGGGATGCAACTTTTTTTCTGTTAGTTGATGAACCCATTGGCGATGAAGAGAGAAATCATCGGGTTATTGGAAACCCTAAATGGCGCGGTTGCCAAAAAAACCTGATTAAGGGAACGAGTTTGCGGTATCTGTATATCTCTCTCTGTAGTTTTTTAGTTGGTGAAAAATTATGGCATTCTAGTGGCTATTTGGTTGAGAGTGTATTTGGTTCCATGGTGATTGAGCAGCTCGGATGGTATGCTGACGGTATCCACCGCATGCAACCGCTGTCATGCGTTTGTATTTGTTTTTGGAAGATTGTCGGTCAACTTTTTTTCGATTGATTAGATTTATTTGAAAAAATATGAAATATGAAAATAATTTTTGAGATTTAATTTAAATATAAAGGATATATAGTTTGAGTTTTAAAAGTAGTATGTTTTAATTTTTGAAAAATGAGACCAAATGGATCTCATTAGTCTGATAGTTTGCATAATCGTGTCTGATACCGCGAATACTACACTTTCCCGAAAGATAAGTATAGACCTCGGCGATAGACCCAATCCTGCAAACTAAGAGATTTGTGACATCCGTTTGGTCTGCGAACCTTTTATATATGACCGACAAATTCCCCTATTTAATACAAAGATTAAATAGGGTTTATTTTATCTGGGTTCCAAGTTCCCTATAGAGGCAAGCCTTTATAGTTAATTACATCCCAAATGACGGGAGTCACTTGAGAAAACTCTCGATAATGATCAATGGTTCTAGTCTTCAAGAATTCAAGGTTCAGGTTTTCAAGATAGGATGAGGAAAATCAAGTGAGAATGGCTCAATGCGGAACACTTATTTTTAGGAATCCAGAGGAAGAAAAAGGTAGGGGATGTCACTGATCCGAGGTAAATCCCCAGTGACTTCCCAAAATATCCTACTGTGTGGCTGCATTTTTAGAGATTATGTTATTTAAATGTTCAATCCTGCCAATTTTATTATTTGGGACTTACACTTGCATAATTCCTGATTATGCAAATAGCCCGCGGAGAAATGAGGGTTTACGTCGTACCACACAACAACCTCGGAACCTAAAGCGAGTTAGGACTTATGCTGCACAAC